TTTTGTATTCTTTGGGCATGGTGAGAATCAGAATTTCCATCAGCCTGTCTGCTTACCCACACCACACAAAGGAGTTAACACTAAAGCTTGGAACTTTGGACACTGATCTGGCGTCGTTGTCGTATTATGCTGGAACTCAGTGGATGCGTGTTTTTTTTTTATTTTTACAGGGCTTTACTCATCATGTGTATGATAATAAAGTGGGCTCACGTGAATACGAAGGGAACGCTACGGAGGCTGACGGTCGTTGCCAGGCGGGCGGCTGAGTTCGGGACACGGTGCTGGGGTTTGACGTTCTGTGCTCCGTGCTCTTCCTTCTCCAGCTTCTCTTTCATCTTGTTCAGCCTCTGCCATCATGTCCTCCTCTCTCCTGAGTCTTTGCATCACATTTCTCGCTTCCTTGCTTATGCGAACTTCTGCTGCCAGCTCGCTCCCGGGTGCCTCTGTGGGGAAAAAGGGTCAAAGTTATTGGTTCGCCCATAAATTGAGTTGACTAATCCTGATTTTTATTTGACATGTTAATCTATTTCAGTAGATATATTTAAGTGTTTACAACCTTTTCTCATTTTGTCTTCTGCCTTGCTCTTTCCACTGTTTGACCTCATTCTCATTTTAACCAGCCTGCAGAAAAGAGGATGACACATATCAGGTGAAACAGCTCCCAGTCATTGCTTCCTCTGAACTCTTTTGAAAAGTTATTTTTAAGCCGCACCGTTGAAGCCTATGCCTGGCTTTTATAATGTCTTGTAAAAATCAATTTGCTTTGCTACATTGTTTTAATCTGCGGGCAGCCGAGCCTCGATGCGGCTTGTTCAGCAGGCACTCACATCCGGGAACTACGTTCTTCACGTTTGAAGACTTCTCCAGTGGGTGCGACGTCGGTCGTACCTTTGGTCTTTCTGCAGGACATCTGCTGGAATCTGCTGGACGATGCGGTCCAACAGCAGCCGCTTACTGCACCTCTGTTACCGCCCTCTCTTGTCTGAGGAGAGACGAGATGAACGAGTACATAAAGTAGCAGAGGATCGAATCTCTATTTTATCTCCAGACAGCTACAGCAAACATTGTGGATCCCACAGCAATGGTTTTGAAATATAAATGGCACTTTTTATTATTGTCCAAAATGGTTATTCTAGGCCTGCTCATGAGAACATAAAGACACCTGTCATGGTTACAGCATGTTTTACGACATTACAGTGTTTCCTGATTATGTTATGTCTGCCATCCATAATAGGCGGCCAAACATGGTTTTTACTTTAGTTGATGCTATTTTAGCTTTGAAAAAACGACCACTAGAGTACATAAGTGATAAAAAACATCTCCTGATATGCTCTTTACAAGCGATAACATCATGCTCCCAGTAATTTCCTCTTTCTAATGAAGTGCCATCACAAGCTAGCACTTTATTAACTCATAGATGGCCCACACATGGCATTTTGGAGGGCCTTAAGTTGGTTTATTATGCCTCTTAATGCCCCCTCAAGTGAAGGTGACGGCGGGGTGGTCTCATTTAAAAGGCCCACTTATAGGGGGGAGGTAAGTTGTTGGGGGAAGAAAAGACTCCTTTGCCGTCTTTGGGTGACCTTTTGGTTTTTCTAAGCACAACTAGCTCATTGTAATCTGCCCTTGATGCATTTTCTTTTGCATAAAAAAAGGTTTCAAATAAATTGAATTCAAAATATTAACAAGTCTTCAACTGGGGTGGAGTAAAATAGAGCCTTCACTCTCGGGCGAATGTCCTTTTTTTGCTGGAGGTGGACTATCTTTGCGAAAAGTCAACAAGTTCTTATCTTTTCCTGGCCTGGAAGCCAGGGAGGACTAATACTACCTTGGAGCCCTTCGTTATATTTCCAGTATATTTTAAACACAAATCGCTTTTACAGCAGAAAGTATTTGGAAGTGTGACTATGAGTTCTCAAACATTTCAATTTCATAATTAGCTCATGATTAGAAATTCTTTACGCTGGCCATGGGAGGTAGGACAGTTGGCTGCAGGACAGACTAAATGTTGCGGGGTGTGTGTCTGTGGTGGTTCATCTCCTTTGCGAGATGAATCAAAAACTTGGGGTTGCGCCCTTTTGGTATCTATATGTACCTGGAAGAGAAAGAAAGGTAAAACAACAAGGTTCCCTAAATGCTTATGACTGAATTTTTCCACCAGTCAGAAATAATATGCAGGGAATCAGGTCAGGGATTCAGGGGTTTCCTTACCGACTCATAACGTTTGGACAGAGCCAGCTCATCCTCGGTTTCCGCGCATCTTCAAAAGTAGTCTAAATGCCTGGAGGTATGGATTAGAGAGGCAAGTGTGATGTATTTCTATATATTACCCACAGATTTACTTTAAGATCTCTTCCTGGTAAACTAGAGTTGAAATAGAAGTTTGTGTTGTAGTAGGATCGGGCTGGGTTTTTGCATGATTACATTTTTTATGGATATGTTACATTTAGAAAAAACTATTTCTGAATGCAAATCTCACAAATGGCCTTGGAGTTTGGTGGGGGGGGTTAAACCATTTTGGGAAGTTATGTATCAAACGGGCAAAACAATCTTAACACTAAAGTTGTTTTTACCAGTCGTTTTAACAACGGAAATATTATCCCAATAAAAGGAAAATTGCTTTTAATTAAAATCTGCTTTCTCCATGCTTAGTGTCTCATATGTTTCTTGTATCTTTTAAATATTCGAGAGACTCATTAGAGAAGATCCACTTGATATTTGTAAAGTAAATGGAAGGCATTTGATTATATTATTCAGTATTTCACTTTATGACAAATGAAGACTGCTTAAGTATTGCAAGGATACAAGGGTAACAAGATAAACAACATACGCTATCTATTTATGTAGCTACGTTTTAAAGTATTTAAATATTTAACATTTGGTTTAATTATTTATCTATTTGAGTAATGGTCTAATGTTTATTTTTCTTTAAGTTCGTAATGTAAAAAAAAATAAAAAAAAATAAATGACTTCCAAAATGTATCCCTTATTTTTTTCTAAGTTCTATGTTGTTACTATTCTAGACCCAATAAACCGTAATCGGCTTGGTGGAGACATCCATATTTATCCTCACCTGTTCTAGCTGTGGAGTTTTCATGGAGAGCGGGCAGCTTATCGATCACAGGTTGGATCCCAACATGAGAAATCATATCGTGCCGTAGGTGGATACCGGAAATTCCAAAATGTCTGTATGTGATTAAAAAGTATGGGGATTAGCCAGGAAAGTATAGCATAAATGAAAAGATGATGGCTTAAGACATATGACACAACTCCAAAACGGAGGAAGAGAACATCACATCAAAGCGATCCCTAATGTGTATAACATCACAACCTCCCTCAGCGCCGCCTGAACTCAGCCCAGCTATAGATAAAGCACACCAAACTGATGACTAATTTCAAGTACCATATCCTCGTACTCCCACAAACCCGCCTACTCCCGCTCCAGAATAGCTCTAACATATCAAGATCTGCAAGANCCTGGTGCAGGTCTACAATTTTGTTTCTGGTGTCCTTTGACAGCTCTTTGGTCTTGGCCATAGTGGAGTTTGGAGTGTGAATATTTGAGGCTGTGGACAGGTGTCTTTTATACTGATAACAAGTTCAAACGGGTGCCGTTAACAAGTGGAGGACAGAGGAGGCTCTTAAAGAAGAAGTTACAGGTCTGTGAGAGCCAGAAATCTTGTTTGTTTGTAGGTGACCAAATACTTATATTTTCCACCATAATTTGCAAATAAATTCTTTAAAAATCAGACAGTGATTTTCTGGATTTATTTTTTTCATTTTGTCTCTCATAGTTGAGGTATACCTAGGATGAAAATTACAGGCTTCTCATCTTTTTAAGTGGGAGAACTTGCACAATTGGTGGCTGACTAAATATTTTTTTGCCCCACTGTACATGGTGGTTATCAGAGTCTCTGTTGTTAAATACTTAAGAAACAAAAACAAAAACAAAATTCTACCATTATATTTTCCTGTCCGCTTTCAGGGTTCGCGGTGATAACAAATGACGTTTTAAACCAAGGTTAATATGCCATGAAAATTTACTGTGCTTATTCGATAAATACGAAAACTCATACATGTTTTTCTCCCATTTATTATCATCAGGTCATTTTACAATGAAAGGAAATATTTAAATTATAAAATGGAGGTGTTTGACACTGGTTAGATTCACACAGCCAAGGGAACAAATTCAAATCAAAGGTTTTACGCAGAGTTCCCGTTAGAATATTATTTCGCCGGTCAACATGTCACATAAAGTTTAAATCTTCCGGACAAAATTTGAAAAGTGCCGGTCAAAGGTCTTCTTTGTTATTTATTGAGCTTTAAAACAAATTGATATGATTCGATATTAAACAAACTAATAATAGTAGATTAACTATTCAAAAGTGTACAGTAATTTACAATAACACGGGAATAATAAACGGAGCGCTCTCTCCCTCTCCTGACAGCTCGTCAGTATCATGCAGCTCGCGGATCAGTGATGAGTGACGCGACAGTAAAAATAAACATATCTATAACTAGTTTAGGTAGTTTGAGAGGTAATTAAAATAGCTACGTGTGATATTCTAACCTGAAGTGTGTGTTTTGCTCCGCTCACCGCTGCATGTGATCATGCAGAGCTGCGTGTCGACTCCCTCCCTTCAGATTAGACTTTACTCACGTTTATGTCCATATCGATCAGATCTAGCTAGTTCTAGCTAATGATATGATTTCCTGCTTATTAAAAGACACCTAAACAATAAGCGTCGCTATGCAACCGGGTGAGGCCGCAAAGTATAGCGCTATGCATTTGTTTACATGCCCACCGGAACCCCGAGGCATTACCAACAGATCAACGCACTATCAACCCATACAGGACATATTTTTCTCCACATTACGTGTTAGACATTAGAATTGACTATTCTTGTCTGTCACATACTATTCTTGTCTGTCGCATAAGTGGCGCAACTGATGCGGTATTGCGCTAAGGGGAAATTATTTTGACCGGACACTTTGACCGGAGAGATTTAGATTTGCGGGTCTTCAGCATATTTTACCGGTCATAGTACGGTAATTACCGGCTAACGGGAACTCTGGTTTTACGTCCACATGTGATGTTTTCTACAAGAATGAAAACATCACATGTGCTGTGCATCACACAGAGATTAAAGTCAAAATGTCCCTTCGCACCTTTTTTTTTTTGCAGTGTAAATCCAGCCAGTGTACAGAAAACATATCATCTATTCAATAAAACATAAAGGAGGGCACTCCCTTCAGAGGGGAAAGACAATAGTATTGCATCCACTTGTTATTTTTAAATGGCATTGAGCATAGTAATTATGAATGTATATGTGCATGTGTAACAAGCACGCAACCTTATATATAGATATATGTAATCTATGACACGAGTGCCCACACATGTTGAGAAATTGCAGATTAGGCCCAGGCCTTAGAGAGTACCCACTCAACAATTAAAACAACAGTTAAGGCCAGCTCTTAACAGGAAAAATAAAACATACAGTGATGGGATATATAAATGCTGCAGGTCAATAATGATGAGTAGAAAACAAACTTCTGAGCTGCATCACTCGCAGTCAGAACCACGTCTGTGTCACAACGCAGCGCTCTGTCCAGTGATGGTCCTGACTGCAGGAGGGCAGCATGTTCAGACTCAGTCTTTCTCCAGAAAACGCTCTTGGACGACTCCCGGCGTGAGCGCAGGTCCTCTCAATCTATGAAACCGCTCCGTATAAAATGGCCCCTTGTGTCTTTAATGGAATCATCTTCCTGAAGGAGAAGCTAGCTGCACACTTCACTCTGTGCATAGATTCTGACGTACAAAAACAGCACAGATAGGTTCCTAACAAACAAGCATGAGCATCTTTTACACCTCGGAGGGAAACTTTCTCCATCAGCCTGCTCATGCAAGACAATCGTCTAAAAACATTTCATGTGACCACACCGATCCTCCAGGGGGGGAATTATCTGATTTGGTCGTTTTTTTTTTAACAACTTTTGGCTTCTGCTCCGTTTAACATCAAACTCCTCGGAGGATGAAAGGTCTGAATGTGTTGTGCCTTGTGTGGCTCTGCAGCGGTGATGCAAGGCTGGCTGGGAGGAGGGTGCGGAGGAATGTGCATGTCAGTTTGACCCAGAGGGAAACTAATGATGGGCGAGCGAAACAAACGCCCCGCTCAGAAGTTGAGCTTTGTGACCGGTCGCTCCCGGCTCGCGTCCGTGTTCTGGCTGTTGATGCGCTTGCGGTTACGCTTCATCTTGGAGAGGTCCTTGTCGAAGACCTCGCCCGATCGCAGCGCCGACACCAAGTCGTCAAACTCGCCGCCGTCGTCCTCCCCGTTGGCCTTCGCTTTCCGGGCCTTTCGCTCCTTCTCCCTCTGCTCTTTCAGCTGGTGACACAGAGGTTAAAAGTCAATTTATTAGACATATAATCCCCTCTGAATTTGTTAAGCATGACAACATTTAGGGGAGAATACATTTTGGTTTCTTGTCAAGAGATAGATGGCAAGATACTGAGCGGTTTTGTCGTATCACGGAATGGATCTTATCATTCACCAAAGAAGCTACTAAAGCTAAACCGCTCCTTGAAAGCAACACTTGATACTGGCAAGGCTGAACTGAATTCAACTATCAACTTGTAAAAAGGATTTTTGTTGTGTCCTTTTTTCAAAAGTGTTGTTGTAACTCTGATTTCATTTCTGAGTCTCTGGAATATTGCAGATTATACTCCATAGTTAATACACTACGGGTGTTGTATAACTGTGTCTATGTTTGTCGTATGGAAACAGGAAATCAATCACACACCTGAGCTTCCATTTTGGCTCTGCGCTCCTCCTCCTCTTTGCGTTTCCGCATGTTCTCGTTCTCCTGCTGCGCCTCAGCGAACGACTGCAGGAACTGGTCAAAGATGCCGAAGAACTCATCTGGCTGCATCTTGCTGGCGTCCTCCCCGAAGTGCTTTACTGCCCTCAGGAACTGTGGGACCAAAGGGAAGGGGGCACATGGGATTAGATTTACAGCGGGACCCAGCAGCACTGTGTGTTACTCTCCGTCTTCCACTGTTTTACAGGAGAGTCGTTACGTCCCCCCTCTTTGAAATAAGAGCAGGGTACCAGTGGTCGGGCTTTGAAGCCGGTGTTAACCCATTTCTGACCGACTACTGATTACAGCCGAGGCCAGAGGCTGGAGCCAGAGCACAAATTAAAGCAACGTGTCTGTGGAGGGTTTTCCACGGTGAGTTAAAAAGGACAACATCCAGATGTGAGAACATACACCTTCTGAGATGTGTGGAGATTTGTACATGACACGCATGCTTTCAACAAATCAGACACATGAAGGGGAGCAAAGATGATGAGTTACTGAAATTATTTGTAGTCAGTTAAATTATGAATCTGTTACTGCTGCAACTAATGAATATTTAAAATATCAATAATTAGCAGGTTATTTTGTAGACGTATTGGTTGATGTATAAAATGACATTAGATGGTGAAAAAAGCCATCCTAAGTTCTCAAAGATCTAAATATATTCAGGTTTTTTATAATACAAAACAGAGAAAGGCAGGAAGTCTCCATAATTTAGATGTTGGAAATTCAATGTTCTGCCATTTTGCATTAAAAATAACTTTAAAAAAGAATCGAATGTCAAAAATAATAGGTATATTCTTTCTGTCGATCAACTAATAGATAACTTGACTTATCGTTGTAGCTATAAAGTTCATTAGTGCATTCAGATTTGATATTTCTTTTTACTTCCTCAATGAAACACGATCTCTGTGAGGAAAATGTCACTTTTCCTACATCTTGGTATTTATGCCCTGCGACACACAATCCAGATGCACGGAGCTGTTTTAAGGGTCAGCATGTTCTCTGGCTCCCAATAATGAGCACCGAGGACTCCTGTAAACACGTTCACATATTTCACTGTGGGACACCCTAAATGATTCACAGAAACTAATGGCTGCCATGTGACCAGCCGAGCACAATGAGCACACACCGTGGGGTAAAAAAACACCAGATTGAGATAAAAAGCCTGCAGCAATAAATGTGGGCAGACACATAAATTCAGGGTGTCAAACGCTCCTCAGAAAGGTGAATATTCTCAAGTTTCTGGCAGTAAAAAATGGCGGCAAAATCCAGGTGTATTTCCTCTTTTACTTCACTTTAGCAATGAGGAAATGGGACTCTAATGTACTCAAAAGCCACCCACATTAAAATGTATGAGTATGTTGCATTTACAGAAAATATTCCCAATATAAAAAAGGTCAAACAATGTGGTGTAAAATAATATCCTCTGCTTCTGGTTCTGTCTCTTGACCTGCGCACATGGCAGCGAGCAGGATGACCAATAAAGCGTCAGAGGTGCTGCGACAGGAAGCTGAAACACTCTCTCCTGCTGCTAGCTTTCCTACAGAGGTGACAGATGAGGTCAATGTGCAGAGAGAGGAAATGGGATGCGAGCTTTCATCGTCTGCACACGCTCAGTTTTTATGACCAGGACGTACCAGTTCCTTGGCCTCGATGAGAGAGTCCTCCACGTCGGAGAAGCTGAAGCTGGCCACGGTGATGAACTGACTCACCACCGACACAAACTTGTCGCCGTGCTGCTGTGGTCGATTCTTCTGGAATTCCAGCTCCTACGAGAGAAAGTTATCCAGGCCAGGAAAAGTAGGTTAGAGAGAAAGAACAGAAAGACCTGCTCGGAGCATTGTGTAACAGCATGACCAATCCATAACATGTATTATGTAATCGATCAGTTGTGACTCACACTCTCCACATTTTTCAAGCCGCTGCGCAGGTTGCCGATATCTTTTTCCATCTCAGTCATGCTGCAAAAACACAAAAACAAACAATGGTTCAGTTTAAGGTTATGCAACAAAACACCAAGACATCTACTAAGATATACATCTGCTTAGGGATGACTCTAACAGGTTGATCGGGTATGAGTGAAAATGTTTATTTACATTATATACTGGAATAAGAATTTCTGATTAAGGTTTGAGTAATTTGTAGCTCCATTTAAAAAGGTTAAAATAGAGGGTTTTTTGAAAATGTAGGATTTATTATTTAATTTACAAATAACTACTCATTTATATCTATGTATTTATTTAGTTTTGTAAGTAAGGAAAGCAATGTTTAACTCAATCCTGATGTTGCATTACCTTTAGGAGCCAAAATGCTACTTAGCCTGAGTTTATTATTTGTATAATTATTATTTTTATGTCACTTTTATTTGTATTTGTTGAGCACTTCCGGCAATCGTCACATGAGCGTGGTTTGTGTATTTAGGTCACCTGTTACATATCGTGTGCGGATGACAGAGGGTGAGCTTCCGTTTTGGTCCTTCCAAGTTATTGTGTGTTTGATTTTGTTTATTAAATATCATCAACCGTTTCTTAAACTTCAGTATGAACGTTCCTCATCACGGCATAAAGCCAAGCCTAGCCTCTTGGCCACTCAAATTGAAATGGGAATTGAGCCGCCACATTACCCATAAAATTAAGATCCCAGTCACTTTTAGGGATACAGCTCATTCATTTAACACTGGTATAAACAATGGAGCGCCCCTTATAAATATAACATGTAGAGAAAACAGCAGGTTCTCCGCAGCTCCACCTACTTGACTTTGGCTGCCTCTGAGAGACTCTTCAGGTCCTCCTGGAACATCAGGACTTTGGGGTATTTCTTCTCCAGGATGGTGATCAGGTAGTGCAGGAGAGTGATGTTCCTGCAAACAGAAACAGACACACTGAGGCAAAGCGACTCTCAAGGCTGAAAACTTGTCAAATGTGCAATATATATGACTTTTGTTATTTACGTTCAGATATAAATAACCATATGGACGCTTGTCTATATCGCATTCCCTCTTCCAGATGTGACTTTCATGCATTTTACGCGCCTTCTCTCCTTACAATTGATAGTTTTTCTTACTTGTCGATACTGGATTTGGTGTCAGCGATCTTGTTGAGTGAAGACACCTTGAAGCCGTAAGCGTTGCCCCTCTGCCCTTTGTTCATGTAGTTCCCAAAGGCCAGCACCACCTCCAGCAGCTGCTTCAGGTTCTTGCTGTGCAGAATCTCCTTAGACGCCCTGCTCAGAGCTGGGACAGAGAAGCAACAAGTAAACAAATGTTAGAGGGTAATTCAAGGAGCTGACGGATTTATTTTAGGTAGCCAGGCCAATATAAAAAGCTGAAAATACAAAGCATTAGAGTTTAAGAGTCTAACAGGAAGGACTACATGCTTCAGAATGCTCATCCCACATAACACAGATGGCTTTCCATGGTTAAAATAAAAACAGAATACAAATATCGTTTTCAGTTATTTATACAAAACTAAACATGTTTAAGGTAATGTCAGTTGTGTATAAAACTACAAAACGTTCCCTACCTTCAACTTTGGGTTTGATCTCAGCTATCCTCTCTGCAAACTTCTTTTTGAAGTACAGAGACTGCAGCCGCTGCTGGTAGTGGTTTATTCTGGAGGATGGAAAATGTGTGTAAGAGGAGAACAGAAATAGACAAAAGTAATAGATTATAAACAGGGAAACCCAACGGTTTAGACAAAAGCCACAAACATGGACATTGTGCTTAAGAAAAATAGAAGTTCAAGCTTACTAAATGGCACATATAAAGTTGTGGTAATGACGCTTATCTTTGGCAGCGTTTCACATTTCAGCGTATAAACCGTAGACTGTGCGGCTAATGAATACCACTGACATCTGTCCTCCAGTCCTACTGCTCTCAGTCAGCTCCAAATGGCAAAATACTGGCAAACTACAGCTAATTATCAAGTTAACAAAACGTTCTGTTGTTTCTATACTGAAGGGGCGTCAGTTACTTTCCAATCTTTGTTTAGCAGGCCATTTATGCAGTCAGTGGTTGAGTTGCAACATGTTGCCTTTGTTCCTTCCACCAACAGGTCTTATCACATTACAGTTATTACATTACGGAGCAATGTATTCACCAACACAATTAAGAGTGATTCACGCATTCAGCTATTGTTCCTGGGGTAAGTGGAAACCCATGTGTCATTTCCCTTCCCTGACTCAGAGCAAACAATGGTCATTTTCAGCAGATCTACAGAGTGCTGCACTGATCTAAAGCTGAATGTGTTTTATACAGAATGTAATAAGGTAACAAATGAGAAAAAACCTGTACCTGCTCATCTCGTAGAAGAAGCGGTCGGGTTTTGCCATTCGGTCCAGCTCATGTTTGTGCTCCTCCAGGAGATCCACGTCGCTTTTTTCTGGGACAAACTTCAGCAGCTGATGACGCAGGAAAACACCAGTTAATATTTCAAACATGCCTGTGTACTGTTCTGTCTGTGAAAGCAAGTTGTTATATATTTTTGCAAGCTCTTAATTAGGTTTTCAGTGTGTTGTTAGTGGGTAAAACCTTTATTATATCATCTTTATTTTATTTTTTTAAATATAATAGTTAGCTCCTTGTACTAGACTCCTGGTACTAGGATGGGTTAAAAGCAGAGAACACATTTCACCGTGTGTGCGCTGTGTGCTCTGCATGTGTGACCATTAAAGAGGGTTTCATCCCTCCCTATTATATTATATTGCCTTCTTGATCTTATCCTTTTTATTATTTGTACCTCCTTACCTATCTACATTTTTCCATCATGTATGATTTGCATTTTTATCATGCTTTGATTTTGAAGCACATGAGTCTACGCCTGCCAAAGGTAAAGTTGCTAGAATTAAACTCGACTGGGCATCTCATTGTCTTTGCTCCAAAACCAAATCAAGAAAATTCATGCTGATGTGTTGTTACCTGCTCTAAAACATGAAAGTGTTGCATGAGGATTCCCTTATGGCTGCTACTTTTTAGGAAGCAGCCCGCAATTGAGATATTGTCACGTAGATCTAGTTGTTTTGGAGATTCACAGACTCCATAGATACATGAGATGCAGTCAGAAGTATACTCTGCCTCACTATGTCTAGGGGCATATTTCACCCCTCCCCTTGCCCCAGGCGCCCCCTCGCACCTCACCATCGTTCGGCTTCCCACACACCATCCCACAGCCACTGATCACCAAACCTGCCACCCCTTGTGCATATTGCGGTACAAAGTGTCCTATGACTGATATACGTCGCATGGTGAGGATGGCTCCTGCACACGAAATGCTCGCTCGTTTGGGAAAGCTTCAGCCTGCAGCACAGACACAAGTAT